CTTTAACTGTATTTCCTATAAGAATTCATTCAATTCTTAAAAATTAATTTATCCAGACAGTGAAGTAGGTTTGTTTTTCAGCTTCCTTTCATTATTGACACGTTTCTTTAGTTTCAGTGCCTGAAACATCACTTAAAAATGTGAAATTATTGACAGACAGACCTAAAGAACTTGGTGTTGCCACAGTGGCTGGTTGGAAAAGCTGGAAAAGAAAGTCTGTGGGTCTCCCAGTAAAAATAGAAATTCCTGGTGGTTTTTAGGAGGAGCAGTGCAGTGCAGTGCAGATTTAGTGTCAGTGTTATGAATATCTCCTGCTAAATGTCTGTGGTGTTTGATATTAATTCCCTTTAATTAGGAGAATACACTAGTTAATTATAAATGCCAACACACTCTGGCATTCTTCTTTTAAGAGGTAATTCTTAAAGAATTTAAGAGGTAGTTCTTAAGAATTAAAGAATTATATCTCTCAGCTGTTGTCAAGGTCTAATTTAAAAAATGAAGTTCAAGCAAGTGAACCAACATTTTGTATTAATTAGCTGAAAAAAAGTGTGTTGGATAGATTTATTTTTTAATTATTAAAGCTGAATTAATCAAAATATGTTTTCAATATCAAGTTGATTTAACAACATACCAATATCTCCTTAAATTGAATTGGGTGTTTGGAGTGACTGTGGCCATTAGATGTTTATTATTTTTATTATTGGTGTTGTTTTGAGTGACTGTGGCCATTAGATGGTTGTTATTATTATTGTTATTATTGTTATTATTGTTATTGTGTCTGGTTTTCTAAGGCAGCAGAGCCTGAGCAGCCTGGCAGAGCTGAGCAGTTTCACTTTTGGGTGTAGCAGCCTGTGTCAGTGCAGTGAGTTAAGCCCTGAGCTCTGCACACCCCGGGTAGGTTTCTCCCTTCAGAGCTGATTTAACCCTCCAAGACCCGAGTGTCCTTTGTGGTTTTCTTTATTCCAAATGCCCATTTAAGGTTTTATTTCCAAAGGGGAATATAACTCGATTCCTTTTAAGTAGATTCACTTAAAATCAATCAAACTTTGTTAATCTCTGGATCAATGAGAAGTGCTGATTAATGCAGATATCTGATTAGATGTGAATAAAATAACCTTAAACACATCTCAGGGGGGTTCTCTTCTGCTGGAATCAGACAGATATTCAGGAGTGCTTGTGCAGCTCCATGTTATTGTTTTCAGATTTAGAGTTAGACCCTAAATGGAGAGTTTTTGATACCAAATGCTTGGGACAATTTATTTTTGCAGTGCAGCAAAGTCTACAGAGCTGACTAGAACTGAGGGGCAGGAAGATGTGACACAAAGACAGGGAAAATCCCTTATTTCCCCATTTATTTTTTAACAGAATGATGATTTGTTATGAAAACTGCTATCAGAGTTATTGTTATTTGTGACTTTACAGCGTGATTTCGCTGAAACTGGCAATGAAAAAGAAGGTAAAATGTTACAAAGGGTGGAAAATGAAAGTTAGTTATTTTAGTTTTGTGTTTAAAATCACCCAGGAATGGTGACACCACGAGTCTCACGGGGCCATGGAGCTGGACTCTGGTTTGTGCCAGAACCTAGAGACAGCTTTGAGTAAACTTGTCTGTTTAATAATCTATTTCTATTACAAAAAGTAACATTTGAAACAAGTTAAGGGAGGAAAAGAAGTTTCTGTACTTACTGTTCTGTTCTTCTCCAAACGTTACTCATCGTGGGAGAAGATTTTCCCAATTCTTAGGCTAGTTAGAAACTTTTGTTCTAATTTTGATCATTCTCTTCTCCTGTTTCCCACTGTAAAAAAAACCAGCCAGTAGCAGCTTTCTGCTTTTCCTCCCTTTTCAGGCCAGAAGTTGGATACTGGTGAAATGATAATTTGCTGAAATCTTTGAACTGTTGCTCGTTTTCATTCTCATTTTTCTCTTTTATTTTGTTGTTTGGTTTTTTCCCTCCTCTTTTAGCCATAAACTGCCAGTGTGGGTTGGGTTATTGCTCATTCAATGTCACCTTGAGGTGTTTAGGTTAATAAAATGGTTTTAAATGAAAAGATATTAAAGAGAAAAAGATATGAAACCATTTTTTTCCCCCTTTTTGTTTTCTTTGGTAGGACATGCATCGCTTTGAGGAAGAATTGACGTGTTCCATCTGCTACAGCATCTTCGAGGATCCGCGCGTCCTGCCCTGTTCCCACACCTTCTGTAGGAATTGTTTGGAAGGTGTCATCCAACTTTCCAGCAACTTTTCCATTTGGAGACCTCTAAGAATTCCTCTGAAGTGTCCTAACTGCAGGAGCATCGCTGAAATCCCCGCTGCTGGTACCGAATCTTTACCCATCAACTTCGCCCTGAAAGCCATTATTGAAAAATACCGCCAGGAGGATCGTTGCGACGCTCCGACCTGCGGCGAACACCACGGGCAACCCCTCAACGTTTATTGTCTGTTGGATAGAAAATTGGTGTGTGGCCATTGCCTTACGATAGGGAAACACAACGGTCATCCCATAGGTGACCTTCAAAGTGCCTACCTGAAAGAGAAAGAGACTTCTGGAAAACTTCTGGAGCAGCTGACGGATAAACACTGGACTGATGTATGTTTGTTGATTGAAAAGCTGAAAGAACAGAAGTCCCAGTGTGAAAATATCATTCAGGATGATAAAAAAATAGTAGTACAGTATTTTAAGAAACTGAGCAATACTTTGGAACATAAAAAAGAAGCTCTGCTGAGCGCGCTGGATGAGGTGAACACCCACGTTTTGGAGGAGTATGAACCTCTCATTGAGAAATTGCAGCGCATGAGAGAAGAACAGCTGGAGCTGATGTCACTGAACACTTCTCTTCAGAAAGAAGAGTCCCCGCTGGTTTTTCTTGAGAAGGTGGATGTTCTGCATCAACGGATCAAAGCTCTGAAACAGGAGCACCTGCCGGATGGGAGATCTGTGGAGATTTATCCGAGGGTTGGGCACCTGTTGAAGGACGTGTGGTCTAAAACCGACATCGGTCAGATCAGCAAGCTCCTCGTTCCAAAAATAAAACTCATTCCCAAGAAGAAGTTGCGTGGCAAAGGCAGCAGAAAGGAAAGAGGAGAGTCGAGAGAGCTCCAGGCTGTGAATCCCCTGGCAGTGCTGCTCCTTCTTGTGCTGATAGTGCTGACGGTGTTCTCCTTCCACAAACCCCTGTCGTCAGTTGTCCTCAAAGCCGCTTCCACCTCCTGCTCAAAATTGGTGCTGCTGGTTTATCAGCATTTCTGCACCCACTGGCAGCACGGGGCGGATGTGCTGTGCCGTGCCTTTCATTCCCTCAGGGAGTTTTTAGGGAGAATTGTTTCTCTTTGACCGTTTTATTGATTAGATTAAGAAGTTTGGGGAGGAATCCACGGGATTCTTTTTTAATTGCCGTTTATAAGCTGGGTTGTTGAAGCTTTACACTTTCCTGTTTCCATACCCTTCCTTCCTCTTAGTTCAGTGAGAAGATTTGGAATCCCATTTGTAGAAGATGTTTGAGGAGCTTTTATCTTGGGTTGTTTTGGGTTTTTTAACATAATTTTAAATTGCTTTTGAAAATAAAAGCTCTACAACGTTACAGGTTAAAAAAAACCCAACTCCCCTCAGGCTGCAAACTGGCTTGTCCTGGACTGGTCAGTCACCAGCTCTTGGTGTACAAAAAACTCCTATTTTGTGTTTTACTGACCTCTTTCTGAGTGTGTTTTAGCTCAGAATCACACTTCTGGTCTTTAAAACATAAAATCCTGCCCCTGGGATTCATTTTTTTTTGTTCCTGGTTATTAGTACATTACATCATTTAATATATATATATATTTTTTGAACCTATGTGTCTATAACTTTGTGTCTTTGACACGGTTCTCTCCCCTTTGCAGAGCAGTATCTGCAGGATTTCTGGTGACATGTTTCATAGAGGTTTTCAGTGGCAGCTGTGCCACAGGTGAGCTGTTTGTTTAGCCTGGCAGGGAGCTCTGACTAAAATGAGCTCTGGCTTTTTGCTCAATCATTTAATATGTTGTGAAAATAGAGACGTGCTGTAGTGAGGAGCAAAACTCCCCCTGAAGTCAGTGGCAGGAGGATTTCAGGTGTTGTCAGGAGCTCTTAGAACTTGGACAGTGAATGTGAATTTATATTTCAGCACCAATAACAGATCTTTACCTTGATGGAGAGAAAACCTGACAGTGTTTGATTCTTCACTAGGACTGGTCACTGCTGTTGATGAGACTCCCCAGTCCAGGCTGTGCTGGGGACTGAAATCCCCAGTGAAAACCAGTTTTGGCCTCTGGTTACTAACAGGTTACTTACAGTAAGTAGTGGGACAGCCTTGAAGCGCCGCAGTTACAACAGCAGAAAACAGGTGAGCTTCAGTTCACTAAAAAAAACCCAACAAAAAGGAGTCTTCACCGTGTTTAATTGTATCTGGCTTGATAAAAATAATTAATAATTAATAATTAATAGCATATTCTAGCACAGCAGCGTTCCTATTTTTGAATAATAACAGTTTTTTAACCAGGGGTTGAATTTTGAGGCTCACCTTTACCTACTGGGTATTTTAAACCCTGGTGGGGTTCTGCACAATACCTGCTGCTTCAGTCAGAGGTGGGATGCTGATACCTTCATTAAGCCTAAATAAAAACCCTAATAAGGATATTGATAACCTAACTGATAAATCACGGGGTGCAGCTGGGTGGGTTTGATGGTCTGGCTCTCGCTGAGGAAGGAGTGGACCTTTGCCTGGGCGGTAGGAGCGGTTTCTAGAGTTGATGTGGAAGTTTTCTGTCAACTTTAAAGGTGAATCCCATGAAGAGCAGCAGTCGGGTTGTGAAGGGTCCTTGGGTGGATCCTGGGGCTGGATAAATGTCCCAGTAACACTGGGCGGTTGGTTTTGTCTCAAGCCCCACGAGAAGGCTGGGACTTGGCATATGGGTCTCTCCAAACCTGGTGCTGAGCGTCCACCACCACACGAAGCTGCTGCTTTGACTTCCTGACTTTTATTTTCCTGACTTTGAAAAATTTACAGAGTATTCAGAGTGCAATTTTATTTTTTTCAAGACTATGGGAATTTATAAAACGCTTTTACCACTGACACAAACATTTAGTACTTGTACTTCTGGTGCACTCTATATTTTATTAAATTCGCATTCAAATAAAATCTATTCTTACAGTAGGAGGGGCTGCCTCTTTGATCTCCTGACTGCACAGGACCTGCCCCGGGATCCTCATCAGTGAAAATCTTTTCACTGCATTTTCACTGAGGTTTGAGGGGTTTGTTTCTGGTCAGACCCTGGGTGAGGGGTTTTTCTTCTCATCTTTTGAACTCTCCTCTTGTGAAACCTCGTTCTGGGTGCAGCTCTTACTGTGTGTATTTTAAAATTTCTTCTTAGAGGGGTTGAACACGAGTGTGTTGAGACCCAGTGGGGGAGGAGACTGAAGTTTCCAGGTTCTGCCTGAGATTCCCAACGTTTTTTATTGCCAGGGATGGAAGCAGCCCCCCGAGAGCGCTGCTGAGAGTCCGAGGTCATCCCTTGTTCTGGACCTTTCTGTTCCGGGCTGCTCTTGCTCAGACTTTTACCCCACAAGCTGACACTGGGGGTGTCTGGGTTTGCCTTGAGGTGGACAAGCTGATTGTCCACAGCGCTCAGGGCTGGAGCGGGGCTGGGACAGGGATGTGATTTGTATTTTGGGGGTTTTTTGGGTTTTTCTCATTTAATTTCGTGCATGTGAGCAGTGCTGAGCTGTGGTTTCTGACCTGAGATCTCACCCTGATGATAATTCAGGCAGGAACACGCTCCCATCACTTTATTCCCTGCACATTAATTTTCACTTGTCACTATTTGATATAATCTTATTGTCTGATATTGCACTGAGAGCTTTTCTCTGCACTTCACAGCAATCAGTACAGCTCCAGTTTCCCACACCAGCTCTGTGCTGATGATGATGGTGCCTGTGAGGAGGGGATGAGGCTTTCGCTGGGTTGGGGTCTGTCAGCGAGGGTTGAGCTCAGACTGCGGCAGCAGAAACAGGAGCCACCAACTAACTCTGCTTTTGCCAAGTGTTTGGGGTGAAACAGGAGGAGATGGCAAAGACACTGAGGAGACAGCGCAGGAGCTGCTCCTACGCAGCTTTTCTACCACACACCAGCAATTGAGCTTTATTTTTTGTTGCTGAGGCACTGTTAGTTCAGGGATCAGTACTGGTACAGGTGTGCCAGATGCTGGCCTGACTTTTGGAGTAAAACAACCAATTTCAGTTCTTAAAATTAAAAAAATAAAATTAGAAATGATCAAGATTCAAAGCAAAACCCACTGAGGTGCTGATGGAAATGGAGCCTCGTCTGTAACAGCCCCCGAGCGTTGCCATCCAGCTGGATAATTTAAAAAAGGGAATTTATTGAGGTGAGTTTTATTAACAAGTTCAAATAAACACAAACCTAGAATAATTAATAACATCTCCAATACAAAAGTACATTAGATAAAAGGAAAGAGCAGCAGTGAGAGTGGAAGTCGATTGCATTCTATTTTTGAGCTACAGTCAGAGCCCCAAGCTCAGCCAGTCCCTTGGCCGTGATGACTTTGGGGTTGGTTGCCACGCTTTTGGTGGTGTTGTAAGTCTTGTAAATGCCGATTAATCTGTCGGCGATCTCAAACATGTTGTTTCGCAAGGAGATGATGATAAATTGGGCGTTTTTCGTTTGCTCCTGAAACAGAAATGATGTGTATTAGCCCACAAGATGTCAAAAAGTTCTGTTCTTGTATCAGCTCTAGCTTCAGGGTTTAGGAATTGAGGAATCAATCACTAAAGTGTGTCACCAACAGCTCCAGCTCCCGCTGTCCCTCACGGGGACATGCAGGACACGCTCCTGGCTTGGCTGTTGCCACAAAGCTCTGTGACTTACTGAAACCTGGCCCAGGTTGCCCAGAGAAGCTGTGGCTGCTCCTCCCTGGAAGTGTTGAAGGCCAGGCTGGATGAGGCTTTGAGCAACCTGGTCTAGTGGAAGGTGTCCCTGCTGATGGCAGGGGGGTTGGGACTGGATGGGCTTTAAGCTGCTGAAATCAAACTGCCACATCACACCTGGGTGAGGGACCCTCCTTTGTGAAAGCAAAGGTTACAACTACAGTTGCCTGCAGGGATCTTCAAAGTGTCTCTCTAATTTCAAGTGATTAATCAGGATCTTTGGCTCATAAGGTGTTCCCAAAACTGGGGCTTGTACTTTGGATAATTCTGAAACGTCTGAAGTTTCAATCAGCAGCCAGAGCTGTAGCAAAGTCAGTGTTGGCTTGACTTAAATATGGTGACGATAGAGTTTTTTAAGGGATGACAGAACAAAGCCACTAATAAAGACATGGAGCAAAGCAGCTCATGGTGAAGAGCTGGAAGTATGAAACCAAGGAACCTTGGCTGCACCCGAGGATGAAATCATGAGCTTGGATCCATGAGCACGTTACTAAGAGCGAAGTCAGTCACTGTCTCAGCTGACTAGAGCTGATGATTTTGGGGTAAGTATCTATATTTTAAGAAGAGGAAGCAGGAGCAGCAAGGATCATGGAAATGTGGCGCCTTTGGCAAACTCGAGCACTCTGCAGACAGCTTTTGAAACTACCCAGGCAGGATTTGGAGGGAAAAAATTCATAAATTCTCTATTAGTTGCCTCATTTCAGTAAAGCATCAAATGTAACAGCTTAGAAAACACATGGAGAAAGCAGCAGTCTCAGCATCTTTCTGGAAATCTGCTTAGCAGATAGTTTCCACTTAATTATTTGAAAAGAATTCCAGATTTTCAAATAATAGTTAAATAATTGTGTTACCACTTTGTCTTTTCTGGCAGAGAAGAAAATAATCTTAGAAAAATGACACTATAGGAGTTACCATTAAATACTTACATAGATGTAAAATGCTACAATGGATACGTTTTTGAAGTCGAGAGCTGCATCAATCTCATCCATAAAATAAAGTGGGGTTGGCTTATAATGATGAAGAGCAAAAACTAGAGCCAGTGAGCTGAGAGTCTTCTCTCCTCCCGACAAGTTAAATATCTTCTTCCAACTCTTCTTCGGGGGCCGAACACTGAAACAAATTAAAGAGTTTGTAACTCATTTCTTGTTCATGGTTAAAATAAAGACGTCGTGGTGAAAAGCAAGTCAGGAGACGAGGGAATTCATGGAAGGCACAGACACAAAGAAGCTGGACTAAGAGCAGGGATGAGCTGCTCAATGCTCTTGGTCTGAGGAGCAGCGCCCCGGCCGCACACACAGCTACGTGGCCTGACCTCCAGCTGCTGTGACACTCAGATATTCTCTGTGGGAACTGTAACGCTTCCAAACTGCTATTTAATTATCTTTCTAAAGTGCTGTTCTACCCTCGAGGAATTAAAACACTCCTAGGACCACTTAGCACAGAACAACCTCCGCTTCCCGGTGTGACGGACGCGATTCCCTCGGCAGAATGAAATGGTTTGGGAATGAGAAAAAAAAAACCCTCAGAAATTACTTCAAAGTCAAAACTAACTGTTAGTGACTTATTTCTCCAGGAGAAATTAATCTCTTCGTTACTCAATGCTTAAAAGTTGGGGCTTCTGTCGGTATCTTGCCAACAAGAGGACTGTCTTGGTTAGCTGATGATGAATTCAAATTTACTTAAAAAGCAGGTTGGAAAAAAAAAACCCCAAAAAGAAATACATCAGTTAAGCATCCCAGCAAAATATTTTGACAAACCTGAAGATGATTCCCTCAGAGAAGGGATCCAGACTGTCCACCAGTTCTAACTCAGCGTCCCCTCCCAAAGTCAGCATTTGGTAGTTCTCCTTCAGTTTGTTTGTTATGACGTTGAATCCCGCCATAAACTCGTTCAGCCTTTGTTTCCTGAGATCTTCAAAGGCCTGTCTGAAGTTGTCTCTCTCGTTGGTAATGTCATCCAATTCAGCCACACGTTTCAAGTAGAGCTCTTCCTGTAGGAATAAAAACCAAACCAAACCAAAAGTGCAGTTAAACAAGCTGCCTCCTTATTTTAGATTTTTAAAGCATTTTCCCTACCATGTGAAAAATCATTTTCCCAGAATGGTGAACAGCCTTGAAACAAAAGAACAAACCCAAAGCATCTCTTTTTTTTCCCCCCCATAGCTCTGATCTCTGCTGCTGATCTCTCCAGACTGGAAAACATGTGTGAAAATAATTTAAAAGAACAAAAAAACCCACAAAAGTGAAAACATTTAATCTGCTGAATAGTCCAATATCACTGTGAGGAGAAAAAAACAACCTGGTGTTGTTCTGTACCTGCCTAGACTGTCAAGACTGTAAATGAACGAACTTTCACAGGGGAAGTTGTCCTCACCCACCATGGATGGGATGGAACCTGAAAGGTGGAGTGAGCTCCTGGATGTGACATTTCACACTCAGCTAAACACGAGCTGAGCGATATCGAGGACACCAGCAGCGGCAGCACAGCCCCCAGAGGAGAAAGGGAAAATCCAAGGGTTCCATTCCAGTTTCCAACTGAAGGGAACTGAAGAAGAACACGACCACCTTTCCCTGATATATCTAGAGATAAGATATCGTTTTGGGGAATGATCTGTTGGAGAGCAGTGAAGGG